TGTATTTCTCATGTTAACAAACTATGAACATCTTATAATTTTGCAGAAGTATGTATAAAGTTTTCTGCACTTATACCGAAAACAAAAAAATTCATGAGCAATCAGAAAGAATATGAAGTTATGAAGTAAATTGCAAAGCGTACATCTGATAGTAGTAAGTTCAGTGAAACAAAATTGAAAAGAAGAGAGAGAAGAAATATAGATTGAGGAGTTGAAAATACTGACAACTTCAATTACTCAAAAGTACAATAAATATTGATGAGGTCAAGTATAATAAATATTGAGAAATTGAGTTATGTTTGTAATTGAATTATCATATGTTAAGCTTCTTATATGTTAAGAGAGGAAGAGAAACAAGGGAATGTTAAGAGTTGTAAGAGTTGAAGTGAGCTGTTGGGCTAGCAGAACCGGCCACTAGAAGGAAGCGTTCGTGAAAGAGTTGAAACGGGCCACTTTTAAGCTAACTGTATGGGCCACTAGTGTGACACCGGCTTGAGCTGCTAGTTGGATCTTATTGGCCTTGTATAGGCAACATATGTTGGAACAAAATTTGAAACTACCTGGATAAGAAGGTATATGTAAAGCACAAGAGGACCCGTAGCATATTAAATTTAAGATACATATCAATAAATAGAAATATCACACCAATTTCAATAAAGAAACAAGAAAGAAAAACCATGACACCATTTTAATTTAATTATCATGGTTTTGCACATCGCATGCCCAATGACACAACAAACAAAGCATAAATATCCAGAAGTACCTCACACACTGTTTTTGGAGTCCATAGCTACAAAAGAACAATACATATATTGTTGACTCTCTCTTCAAATTTAGGGTTTGTTCACGCAAGCATCCATATGAAAACCAGTTATCTAGATTGATTAAAACATTTGTGGAAACAATGAAGTAGAGTGGTTTGCAGGTGAGAATTATGGATAAAGTACGATGTTAGAGAGCTTAACATTACTGCTAGGTCTTTATCTATTTGAAAGCAGTAATGCTACGCCTACAATCTATTCTCACGACGTAGCATTTGAGTTGGTACTGTCACGTCAGTTTCATAATAATTTTGACTAGACCAGAGAAACAATTGTTCCTTCATAGGGAATGATCGTTCCTTATGAAGGAATGACTCCTCGTGGAAGGAATGACCATTCCTTATGAAAGGAATGACTGTTCCTTATGATTGTTCCTTATGAAAGAACGACTGTTCGTTTCTCATAGTGCTTTAGGTGTCTTGGGTATGGTGAGAGCTAACGTGATAGTGTCAATCTATTGATACATTAGGATTATAAGAGAAGATTGTGAGATTGGGTTATAAACATAACATTTTTTACTTGAAAGAGTGTATTGCAATTATAAGACACTTCATTTCAGAAAGTACAGTAATTACCATAGTTACGCCAGCAATAATGAAGCAGGACTAAGGTGAGTCTACTTGCAACTAGGGTTGTCAGATGAGCCGAGCGACTCGCGAGCCGGCTCGGCTCGGCTCGTCTGAAGCTCGTTTATGACTCGGCTTGTGGTTAGCCGAGTCAACTCGGCTCGAGCTCGTTATATAAGACGAGCCGAGTTCGAACATGGGGAGGCTCGACTCATAGGCTCGTGAGCTTGATGTGGCTCGGCTAAGCAGGTTTCCATTTGTTATATTTTATAAACTGTGGGGACTGAAGTGTTATATATATTCTTTAGTATTAAAAATTTGTAAAACAACATTTAACCCCCCGATGTAATTTTTTCTAAAACACAAAATTAAACCTCCAAATCAGATATCCCAAATCGACAAACCCTAACCCCTAAATTTGTTCTTGCAAAAATTCATAATCAAAAATCAAAATCAAAATAAATATAGTGGTTGTGTTGAGGAAGAAGAGGAAGATGAAGATGAAGATGAAGATGAAGATGAAAATGAAGATGAAGATGAAGGTGAAGATGCAGAAGATGATGGAGATGGAAGCAGCGTGTGATGCTCTGCAAGATGAAGATGAGATGAAGACAAAGATGAAGATGAAGATGAAGATAAAGATGAAAACAAGATGAAGACAAGGATGAAGATATGCAGATGATGAAGATGATGGAGAGATGTAGAGGATGCAGATGATGAAGATGAAGTCAAGTCGAGTCGAGTCGAACTCGACTCGAACTCGATCTCGACTCGAACTCGATCTCGATCGAGTTCGAGTTCCTTTTCTATGACTCGACAGGCTCGAGCTCGATCTTGTAGCAAATGAGCTGAGCCCAATAAGTTGAAAACTCGACTCGGCTTGGCTCGTGTACAGCCCTACTTGCAACTTCCTATATACAAATAGGCTATAAATTAATCTAGGCAGCATGCTATAAAAATGAAATTGAATCCAATATAGGTTTGATATCATCCTGCACATTTCTCGGGTCCATAAGATAAAAGAAATAAATTATCCATAGATTTCAAAATCACAACTCCAATTCCAAAAAGATTCTGTTATGTTCCAGAGCTTATTTAAGCAAATTGAAATTAAAACAAAGTAATAAGAAGAAGAACTTGGAATCAAATGTACGTGGTTTAATCAGACAATCTAACTCCACAGACTTCATTATGATCAGACGTACCATAACAAATAGCTCCTTACCATTAGCCATTGGATTAGTGTCACCTGCCCTACCTTATTCATCCTATTTTAGAACGTTAAGGAAAGAGTGGATTAGGATATATGTTGAATATTAAATTTAAGATACAATTCAATAAACAAAAACAAGAAAACCATAACACCAATTTCAATAAAGAAACAAGAAAGAAATATCATAATACCATTTTATTTGATCATGTTTCTGAACATCTCACACTAGTCAAAAGGGAATATTTTTTCACACACAAGACCAAAAGTACTGCAAGCATTTAGGTAATGTGATAATCTAACTACCTCATCTAAATAACGTGTTGAGACCATCCAATGAAATAATGATATGTGTTGTCACATATACGTCAAATTTTCTCTTTCATTCACTTATTAGCATGATTGTTTAATTACTATCATGCATGATTCATCTATAACCACCATCATAATGAGTGATTAAGAAAATTAACTCTATAGATCATCATCTCATTAGATGGTTTCAACATGTCAACCAGGTAAAGTGGTAAGATTCTCATATGTAAGTATATTTCTCCTATTTTAGAGTCCAAGGTGAACTTTTTTCAAACTCAAGACAAATCATAATCATCCAGAAGGACCTAAGCAGTATTTGAGTTCAAAGTGAACATTTTTCATACCTAAAACAAACAACAAAGCATAAATATCTAGATGAACAATAGAGTCTTCAAAGTAAGAATTTCTTTACGTACGTACCCATCTGATAGACATTTTAGCAAAGCAAATATGAGAACCAGTTATACATATCAAAACATTTGTTGAAACAATGAAGCAGAGACTTAGAGAAGTTTCCAGATGAGAATTACAGATCAAGTACAAGTGTCAGAGAACTTAATATTACTGCTAGGCCTTTATCATCTGAAAGAGCCGATTGCAAATTTAAGCTATCTTGTGAATAACACTTCTTTTCAGAAAGAAAGTAGAATGATTATCAAATAGTTACTAAAAGTTGTGCCTCAATTTCTGAACTAATTGCAGGCAATAATGATGCAGGACTAAGGCAGGTTTAATTCTTAACAAGACAATGATTAGCATCTTTATCAATCCACCAATGGAATCTTCAATCGTCTTCTGCTTCACTTACATAAGTTGCATCTCAGCCTTAATTTCTGCCACTTCAATCTACATATTTTTTGCCTCATTTGAGCTATATGTAGAAATGTAATCCGCCAGGTTGAACTCCTCTATTGATGGACACCAAAACCTGTAGTAATCACAAGCACCACCTATACACAAGGAGCATAACTTGTGTGGATTATCCACACTCTTTGATATCCTCACTCCAGCCTTAAATCCACACCTGCATATCCTATTGTTAAACTCGATAATATTCCTCTATCATTGCATCGACGTACTTCTTTGGATTTTTTTGAATTAATCTGCAAGAAGAAACAAAAAGAGAAAGAAAAGGCTTCAGCATGATTTTGTTTGCCAAAAAGCATGTGAAGTGGCTAAGAATTTGTGGACACTGGCTGCCTTTTATACTGATAAATCTATGACCAAGGACTACTTTACAGAGGCAAAAATCAATCTCATATTACATGGATACAACTTTTGTTTGATGGCTTATTTCGAGTCCCTACATGTTTTCAAAAATTTTGTTTCCAGCTGATTGAACTGCTATATACCATTTCAACCATTCTTATTTTCTGCTTCTATTATAGGCCTTACAAAAGTTTTTCCACTCTCTCTTAGTTTCAATATCTTTCAATTTTACCCTTGTAAAATTGACTTTTTTAATTAAATTATCAATAAACGACTCAATTTATTATTTAAATACTAAAAAATTAGGTCTTATGATACTTATATTTTTAAATACATAATTTTTTATTAGTACATAATTTCGTAATCAAAATTTTAATTAAATTATCAATATAACTTTCAGTCTATCATTTAAATTAATAAAAGAAATCGAGTCTTACAATCTTTATATTTTCTATAATTATATAATTCCCCGACAATTAACTATAGTGTCAAGAGTTAGTAAAAATGATAAAAGCATTGTCTAAATTTCTTGACCTTCTAATAGTATGATGAGAATTCATCATAATGTTTAATTTTGTAATTTGATAGCATTTCACTCTTTGGGATTTTTGTAAGAGGGGAAATTAGAGAAGAAAAGTAGAAAACTATAAATGTCTCTACGCTCACCTCTCCATATTTAATTAAAAATAATGTCATAGCTCTACTCTAAATCTTAATCAACAAAATTCAATGGTAAGAAAGGCGAAGTAAAAAAGTAGTTACATGTAATGTCAACATAACGTATCTTATCACCAATGAATTATCAAAGATAAAGGGTTCATAAAGAGTGCAAAAAATTTAAGTCATGGTATTAGTTCTTTCAAAATACAAGTTGATACCCTATTATTGAAAACTTGGGAACGAGTTTGAGTGGACAAAAATTAGCAAAAATTCCAGCTTATCCCACCACTCTCGACGTCCAAATATCAAAATTCTGCTGTTATTCTCACTGAGGGGGTCGAGTGGGAGATTTGTTAGACTTGGGCATCTAACTGCATGTATCCTCTCCAGGGAAGGGAAGTGCATGACACGACATATGCTCTTTAGATTACGAAAATTCAATTGCTTCAGATTTTTAAACATGGTAGAGTCTTCGGATGAAGAGCTGAATTCATACGGAATTATTTCTTCCAATAAGGGACAGTCAGCAGCAAAAACAAATCGAAGCATTGCAGCATATCTAAGGCATGCCAAATCTTTTACCAAACACATCTTGATACAGAGATCATGAAGATTATCGAAACAGCCCATACTTAGAACTGAAGAGGATGTCTCGGCCAAATGCAGCTCCTTGCCCTGCTTGCACTTGATTACTAACCTTTTAACACAACTTTGTAACTTGGGTGATGATTTAAATTGAAATACGGCATCGACCGTAAACAAGGTGACACTAATTTCTTCTATTTCTTCCAAGCACTCCAACTCTCGTAACAAGGTTGTATTCCAAAAGGGCTGAAAGTTCAGCTGGCTATTTCTAGTTGGTACTCTGCTGAATAATTGTAGTGATGAAAGACTTGATAGCACTCCTTCTGAAATGGCTTTAAGATCCGTCGTTCCATCTAAGAGCAGGAACCTCAATTTTGTCAAACTGCTAGCCACAATTGGCAACTCTTGTATGTTTGTATCCGACAAATTAAGATACTGCAAATTTATCATTTCAAGCATCGCCGGCAACCTAGTTAAGCAAAGATTCTTTGACAAGTCCAAAACTTTCATGGCATGCATAGATTGAAAGCATGAACTAGGAAATGTCTCAACTGCAGTCTGTCTAACCAAAAAAGTTAGCAGACGCGGACAAAATGGCGTTTCTCTGAAAAGTTTAACACTTCCACCCCATAGTGATATTCTTACTGCCTCCTTCCATGTAGCAATCCCATGTTTTTTAATGGATTCTTGATTTTCAAAAACAAAAATCTTGTTCTCCTTTTCCGAAGCTAACCACAGAGCCATATCACGAAGGACGTCGTGCATCTTAACATAATCATCAGAATCTCCAACCTTTTCCAATAGACATGCATTTTTCAAACTTCCAATAATAAACTCTCCTGCATATCTTGCATCCTCTAAACCAATATCATGTAAAATTCCCTCCGCAATCCATAGTTCAATAATTTCATCTTTTCTAATCATATGATCCTCTGGAAACATGGAACAATATAAAAAACAACTTTTGTGTTTATCATCCCTCAAGCTATCATAACTAAACCTCAAAACTCGGAAGACATGACTTTCCATAACTGCAAATTCAGATGGTTGACTCCGCAGTGTGTTGATTGCATACCGCCATTCTTCAGGTTTTCTCCTATTAGACATGGCCCTTCCAATAGTGATCAATGCAAGCGGCAAACCTTTGCACTCTTTGGCAACAGTTTTAGCGAGCTCTGGAATTTCTGGATGAGAATTCAGAACTTCCTCCTTCACACATTGCCGAAACAATTCAAAGGATTCTTCAAATGGCAAACACTGCACTTCAAATTTTTTTACAAAGCGTCCATGCTGTCGCACACATCCTCTGCTCGGGTTGATTTATTTTTGATCCATTCTGACTGTAGGAAAGATCAGGACCTCCAGTTTCGTAGGTCTATTCTCTCCCACAGATCGTTAGCAATAGCACAAACTTTTTCCTCTAAGCTTCTGCAGATTTCCGTAGCTCTACCATGTTCGTCTCTCTTTGTTTCCATGTTTCATCTGGATCTGTAATTTATCCGTATAACTTCTTGAATTCCATCCAAGTTCACTTCTTAGACACTGTAACCCAAATCACCACATCAAAATCAAGTCTATTGTCGAGGAATTATTGTTAAGTTCCTTTAAGGGTGGTCTTTCCGACACGCCTATCCCATACATGCCAATGATTATCTGCGGTCGTCAAGACATCTCCAAACCTCCAGTATTGAGCCCATGCCCACAGTCTTGTCCACGGTATCTCATCCTGGAGCTGGTGGTATTTTTTCAGAATATCATCCAAAGATTTGAATTCCGTCCCTTTGTTTTTTAATCTTTCACAGCCTCAGTCTCCTAACTACTTCTTTACCAAGCTTGTAGCTAGAGTAACAATTCCTGGGACAGCAACTTCCCAAACATTCTTTTGGATCTCTCGCTCTCCCTTCCCACATGTTATCCACTTTCTCTAATTTGAGTCTTACACTTTCCAGCCAGCCTTCAACTTGGTTGGTACGCTTACGATATTGCTGCTCTGCAAGCTCAACCCTGCCCTAATTCTTTTCTGATGTTCTCGAGCTCATGCCTTGTCTGTCTAAGTGAAGTCAAGTTCTCTTGGAGATGACTGATGATAGCAATGCGATTGGAAGTGCATTGCACAGTGTGGAGCATGTTCATGATTGGACCCAAGAAATCCATGATCACCAAAATTGAGAGTTTAGAACAATTGGTGAAACCCAATAGATGTTAAGCAACCACAAACAACACCAAGTTGCACAATGACCAAACTTATGGAGTTTTGAGGTAGAAGAGGCTGTAGAAAGAGGGACTTGGTGTGGAGATTATACAAGGATTTCTGCTACAAAAATAGTTTGTTTTGGTTCATACACTTTTCTCCTATAGCGCCAATCGGCACCAGTCGAGCAGAGAGCTTTAGGCTTAGACTTTGAAAATGTAATTTGCTTCATTCTTTATTTACCCAAACTACGACTTTAACTATTTCGTTTTTCAACTGAAAAGTCAGTAAAAAGTTGGCAGCATAATTAAAACTTCTAACAGTAATTTTTTTGCAACAGGGAAAAAATTTAAGGTAGGCCTTCCTATTCAAAATATATAGCATCATATCATTGACTCTCAATATGTAAATGGAGTTTTTCTTCTCTTCAATTTTCTTCTACTTAGAAACCGCCACAAAAGTAGCACCGAAAGAGAGACAGGATTTTCACATGTTTTTTTTATTTACTTTTGATTAATTTATAAAAAGAGAGAATGACGTTTTGAATTTGAATATCAAGTTATAACTAGTTCACCATGATATGTTAAAGTTAATAGCTTGAAACTAATGGTGGGATGGCGGCGTTAGTTTCCAAAACCGAGGAGAAACAGTGACTGAAACAAATCTTACCGTAAATAATCAAGCCCTGAAAAAAAACCTTTAAAAAAAAGAGAACAGTTAAGTCTAAAAGAAAGGGAAACAAGTTCCACCCAAGGATTAGGGTAATTACATTGTCCCACACAAAAATTTTAAAAAAAAAAAAAAAATTCCCATCCATCAGTAAAAGTTAGACGTTAGTTTCAGCGGTGAAAAAAACATTATCGTCTTGCAAAAATGATGATACTATAGGGTTAATATCGCTTACACCCCTAAAAGACAAACATGTACCAATTGTCTTCACAAACTTGGGAACTACTCACTTAGACCCTCTATCTTCAATTTCTACATTAAAATGGAGGTTTGACCTCGATTGACCGATGAAATTACATATTGTCCCATCCACATTTTTTTTGGACTATTTCACCCCTATTTTCCACTTAAATTAGTTGTGTTTCTATAAAAAAATGCAAAAACTTTCATTTGTAATAATCTATAAAGTAAAAAATTATAAAACCACAAACAATTTCTCATCAAAAATGTAATTTTTCAAGAGAAAAATAACTGAAAAATTGTAAAATAAATAAAAACCTTGAAAAATATAAAAAAGTCCACCTGACTAGTGCGATTTCGACCAAATCACACAATCCCCTGTGATTCCGGCTGATCGCACCACGGCTAGTGCAATTTGGCTAGAATCACACCAAGCTAGGTGCAATGTGGCTTGAATTGCAAACCCAAGTGCGATTCTGACAAAATTGAGTGCGATTCCAACCAAATAGCACCAGCTTGGTGTCAACAGTAAAGGGTATTATAATCTTTTCGTTTTTTTACTGCTATTGATGATAAAATCACTAGGAGATTGATGATGGCTGGAAAATTTTTTTTTCAACGTTTTTAGGTGGAAAAACAGTATTACGCTAATGCTTGGGTGGCAAATTGTCAATTTGTCATTCACTGAAAGGGAAACAACAATGATGGCATCAAGTTCAGTGATGCTTAAAAGGAGCTCGAATCACAAATGCTGCTAATTGTGCATACATGACTCACCATTAGAATTTTATAATAAAAATCTTTTCATGAATCCAGCTATACCTCACTCTGAATTTTGCAGTGCTGCAATTCTCTTACGCACCTGGTGCTATTTAATTATCTTTTAAATAAATGTTTTGTTACTTATATCCCAATTTATCTTTTTGTATTGCTACAGTATGTTCATAAGGAAACTATAGAAATATGAAATTCCATTGTAAAGCACAAATAATCCGTAATTTAGGCATATTAATTGAAAATGCTTGTCAATACATAGCCACCAGTACATTGGTAGCATTTTTATTTTATTACGCAAAGTATTAATCCATAATCATCAGAGTTAAATCTTAAACCGCCCCAGATTAGTACAATTATACCCAAGTGTTGATTGTGTGATTTTTGCACCAACCAAAAGCACATGTAAAACGTGAGTTATCCCAGGAAATACACGTGGATGTAGGTGAAAGTCGTAGTAAATGTATGGGGAGAGCTTTTTAAAGTGGTTCGGTGCTAAGGTAGCAAGTCCTACATCCATTGATTTTTGTATTAATGTTAGGGGTCAGGTCGCAATAGCGGTCTGACTTACAAATGATTTACAAGATAGCTGAATGAAAGTACAAGGGAAAGAATAGCTAATTAAGGGTAAAAATGGGCCAGTCCCTAAATGAGAGAGTAGTCTCCAATTTATAGTGGGATGGATTGAAGTAATGATCATTGATCTGTGAGTTGGGGGAGTGTGCAGCAAATCCTTTTTTATGTCACATGTTCCACCTTCCAGAGTGATTTGTGCGATTGGAGCAGGGAATTGACACTGGATCGTCACAGCTTCTGGCTGGTCTGACGTGCGCCTACCGTTTCTGATAGGAGAAGCTACCTCTTGTTCACGTGACTCCTACGTCAGCCCTATATTTTCCAGCATAACACCAAGTAATACTTTTGCCCTACTTAAAAATAACTCTCTTACATGTGTATATTCCAACAAGTGTAAATATGATAGACTATATAATACTACAGTATATTTGATAAGAAATTGAGACTATAGAAAGATGAATATTCATTGTGAAGCAATCCGAATATCGTAATTACATGCTATAAGTTGAAAACATGTGGATACAAAGACTAAAGCATCGCACCATTTAGTTTACTTGAAGGAAACAGACGAAAAACTCTTATCTGGAGTCAACAACTACCAGGAATGATGCAGAGTTCGAACACTTGCAAGAGATCCGCCAGATAGCACAACTACAAAGAATAATAGTGAAACAGAAAAGTGTAATTACATGGAAATTACAGAGAAATGACAGCATTAGGTAATTCAAAAAATTTTCACTTAAGATTTATTGCATAAATCAGAAATAAATTTGGAACTAGAGTTTCTGTGTGCAACTACTAAAGCTTGATGAAGCTTATCATGAGACTCATAATTGAAGTTACATACATGTAACCCTCAATGATTCAATCGACAGGTTTATTATATCCTTCCCATTATGATTGTGTTTTTGTGTAGTAAGATTTTCTTATACTAATTAATTATCTACTTTAACTGAGATCTTAGTACGTTATTTTCTGAAATAATCTCTAATTAAACACTTACTTGAATTTATAAAGAAACAGATCTCTTGCTATTTTTTATAACCCGTGACAATTTCAGCAAAAAGGGTCATAGCGTAATAAATAGAAGGATTTGAAAGTTTACTCTGTTTTTAAGTGCGTTTTTTGCTTTTCATTTCCACAACTTGGCTTGACCGATTCATATTTCCTGAAATGTTGTCTGCTTTCACTTTTTTCAGCACCTGCTTTTTGTCTGCTTTCAGTATGCTTTTTGTATTTTCTCATGTAACAGACTATGACATCTTATAATTTTGCAGAAGTATGTTTAAAGTTTTCTGCACTCTCAAACAAAACGCAAGAAGAAAATTCATGAACAATCATCAATCAGAAAGAATATGAAGTTATGAAGTAAATGCAAAGCGTACATTGTATTAGTAAGTTCAGTGAAACAAAATTGAAAAAAAGAGGAGAAGAAATATAGTTAAGGAGTGAAAATACTACAACTTCATTACAATCGAACGTTCATACCTCCTTTGTACATTAAAATTCAATATGATAATGAACAAGATGTTTAAAACAAAGAATTAGACCATATACCAGACTTAGTCCTTAAGGTTTCGATTGAGGATCAAGTATACATAAATATGTTCAATTGAAAATTGAGTTGTGTTTGTAATTGAATTATGAAATGTTAAGCTTCTTGTACGTTAAGAGAACAAAGACAAGGGAGTGTGGGTTTGAGAGTTGAAATGGGCTGTTGGGCTACCACAACCGGCCACTAGAAGGAAGTGTTATTGAAATAGCTGAAACGGGCTGCATGCAAGCTAAAGTATGGGCCATAGCGTGACACCGGCCTACTGCTGTCGCGCTTCACAGAATGGTTGTCAATTTAAGAATAAAACTAAAATGCCAAAAACGAAAGCATCATCTTAGTTATGTGGAACACGAATCATCCGATAAAACACATAATCTTCTTAATTTCCAAAACTAATGTAAAAATAAGCTAGATTTACAAAACAAAGGCCTTTAGAATAGATGAATATTACTTTTTTTCTTTGTTTTTGA